GGTAGAACAGACCGGTCCCACCACTGTACTGGTTACTGCGTTAACTAGTACAGGGGTAGAACAGACCGGTCCCACCACTGTACTGGTTACTGCGTTAACTAGTGACAAGGTTTTTAACCAATAAGCAGAGTGGACTCACTGTGTGTTCTCATGGTTGATGTCTCAGGGTCAGGGTTGAAGGGGAAGATGTATTCTGGTGGGGGGGGCTCCTCGGGGGGGTCAGGTGTAGTAGAGACTGCAGGAAAAACAAAGGTTTGAAAAATCATTCCATTCTGTTTGGAGCAGAAGCCCTGGCAGCTGCAGTTACAGTAAACAACCACACCTTCAGGCCGGGGCGCTGTTTTTCAACAACAAGATTAAAAGGACATGTGACATCAAAACATGAAGAAATATAAACTGAATATATTGATATATTTGTTCTGGGGACGGCTCCATACGACGTTTCCATCTCTGCCTCATGGGGGCAGTAATACTTCATTTATTCTCCACTTCACCTTGCCAAGTCCGGGCTAAAGAAACAGGTGTCCATTCACTCCACTGGGTGTCAGAGTTCACTTCGTCACGGGCTCGGACCTGCACCTGGTGGACGTGACCGGCCAAGGCGTCGAAAATGACGATTGAACTGTCTTCTGAGTAAACCTGGAGGAGAGTGGGGGGGGCAAATTCAAGGTCAAAAAAAGTTATGACTAAGTCACACTGCAGTTTTTCAGAACACGTGGGAAAATCTGAGGCCACTGTAACAGTAACCTGAATAATTACAGACATTTGTCAGCTCTTTTCTCACACTGGTGAGACTGACACTCCAGCCCAGTAGGTGGCAGCAATGCACTTAAATGTTTGTTTAATGTCTGTGCACAAGAAAGCATTGTTTAAAAAATACTCTTTTAAACTCTGTATTAAATTTAAAATGTGTAAACGTGAGAATCATAACACATCACAAAAGTACTCTGAACAGCACGTACAGGTACGTGTACATAAACACAGCAGGTACGTGTACATAAACACAGCAGGTCCACAGTGTGACTGACTCACATCGGACCAGTACTCAGAACCCTTGGGTCTGTATCGGATTTGGAAAATGAGAGGAAAAGCATCCCGTCGTGGCCATGACGACGGGTGTTTCCAGGAGATGGAGAGCCTCTTCGGGTGACTCTCTACTTCCTCCACCTTCAACGACTCGGGGGGGTCAGGTTTCACTGCAAACACACACACGTTTCTGCTCTTTAACATGAATCTGAATATTAAAACACAGAAACTGAATGAACTTTTCACTCCTAGTTTTTCAGATCTAATATCTGGGTCCAGGGGGGTGAAGGGGGGG